ACTGTTATCTCTGGATGTAATTGTTCCTTGCTGTTATTGTAAACTTTTAATGTTAGTGTTCCTAATTTTATAGGATGTCTCAGCTATTGGTTAGTTTGATTTTGCTCAATTACACACTATTTGGTCATTTGGCAACTGTACTTTTGTAAATTTGGTGAGTTCATTTGTACTGACTTTGTATTTGATTATGTCATGCCCGCAGTGCAGCCCGACCCCTTAGACCCTGACCCCGGGAATTCTGCACCCTCAACGTCCGAGGGTGAGCTCCCTGCACCCCTTGAATCACCAGAACTAAGTCTTGCAGAGGATGAGCACCAGCTACCAGGAGAGTTTACACCTGGAGCCGCGCCGGCAGAGACAAGCACAAGCAGCACGGCTCCTGATTCCCCCCCACCGGTGGCTCGTTTCCGCGATCAGAGGCGATGGGACATGGCAACCTGGCGTAAGGAGGCGCGCATGCGACATCGGCATCCTCCAAGCCCAGAGTACTGACCGGAGCCAGGACCCTGTTAGCGGCCGGTAATTGGCTAACAAGCGGAATGGGCTTTTTAGGTGGCTCTCTCAGATTCCCAACTCATGCTGGCAACTAATCACATAGACGAATCGCTGCACCCCAGATCCTACGTTCCTGTCTCCTGATTTTCATTCTGACTTCCCTGCTCCTGACTTTGGCTTGCATGACATTGTTTCCCCGGCTCCCTGACTTCGGACTGTGTATACTGACTTTTGACAAACTACTTTTGGCTTCTGAACTCTGCTTGCAATTCCGGTAACCCTAGACTGTGTTTTGACTTGGTATTTTGGACTCTGCTCACCTTATTCTGTCTTATCTGGTTCCCTGACCTTGGACTGTGTTTTGGACTTTCCGTGCCCTGCCTGGCCCGCCAGCACAATCGTGACAGATTACAGTGTTGTACTGTTTTCAATAGAGCAATATTTGTTAATTCTTATTGGTAGAACTTTTATATTCTTACTATATAGGATTTGGGAGCCTTTTGCGTAGTTCACATGGTCCTTTTGACCGGGGTTCGCCACTGTTCTCTCTCGCATTTAAATTTGCTGATCAGATAGGCCAATCCGCCTCCCGCCCCGAAGCAGGCTCACTCGCGCAATGCTCCCGCTTGTCTCCCGCATTTTCCTACACCCGGGAAAATGAGTATTTTCTGGGTGTTTCCACTTTGAACCTGCAATTTTGCCCATCTGGACAGCCCCCTAATCGCAATTAGGGTCGTCTGACCGTTCTTCGCGTGATGAGGTGTTGTTGTTTTTAATGCTTCCGGCTTTGAGCACTTGAGCAATGATTGAATTCTTTGTTTAAACATCCAAGCACACATCCCCCCCTCCAATTCGCCTGTTGTTTGCAAGGCATGCCCCCACTCCTTGGCTCCATGCTACCAGCCTCTGATCTTTCCCGTCTGTCCCCTCCTCACAGTCTGCTCTCCCTTCTCTCTGATCAGCAAAAGAAAGGGGGGGCTGGATGGTGGAAATGGCTGGTCCTTTCACAACTGCAGTAAATTTCTGGACGGACTGAGAGAGAAGAGAGAGAACTGAGAGTGAGGTAGTGCCTGCCTGCATTTGTGTGTGTGTGTGCCTGTTATATGAACTGTTGCTACGGACGGCACCACACCTGAGGCTGCAGCTGCTCGAATGGCAGTTTTTGCCCGTCCTTTTGGGCTTCTCCCCTCCCCTTTGAGAGTGGAGGCTGGTGGAAAAGACAACAAGCCTCCGGTAGGCAAATGGGAAGGAGGCATTCTCCAGTGTTTGTATTGGAGGTGGGGAGGGGGAGAAGGATGACGGGTCGGTTGGGAGAAGCTACATAAAAGCTTGTTTGCCTTGGCTCCGCAATTCTGGCCGAGGCCCAAGCAAAGCTTCCTTCTTCTCGCCATTTCTTTGCAACTCCTGCCTTTGTTTGTGTGTGTGGCCAACTGGGGGCAGTAATTCAGCTGTGTTCATGTGTGCATGCATAAAGCAATTTTTTAAAAAAAAAATCTCATGGCTATCTGGACGGTGCATGAAGCCTCATCCCACAATGCAAGCGGTTTGGGGAGGGATGTGTGGTCATCCCTATCCGAAAAAAATATTCCCAGATCAAATTTATCATGGGAATAAATCGCAAGAAGCTTGCCGTGTGACCACAGCCATAGAGATGCAGTTTAGTGTTTTTGGTTACAGCAGCTCTCGCACTCCGTTGTCCTTTGTTGTTTTTGTAAACTGGGGAAACTTGGCAAGGACGAGTGGGTAGCTAGACAGAGACTCCGATTCAGGCCAAGGAAAGAGGATAGATCTTCCAGTGAGAGGAGAATTTCCCTACCCAGTCAAACTGGGAGTTAGCTCTGAAGAGTGGAGAGATCCCTAGTCTGGTGTGGTTAGAAACTGCCTTTAGAGACCTTAAGAGTCAGTTAAAAACTCAAGACGAGTACTGGTGTTTCAGGAGAAGGGGTTCGGGTAGTGAAAAGAGTATACCAGCCTTCTGGAAACCAAAAGAGTCAGAGAATACTCAAAGAAAGTGTACTAGAGTGTTTGGGGAAACTACAACAAAAGCCTCTCGACATAAAAATTTTAAGGAACTGTGAATAGCTGAAGATATTCTCATTAGCCTGAAATATAAGAACTAAAGTCTGGGCATGTACTGATTTTACCTCAACATTATCTATATTGAGTTACCTCAGAAATTTCGCCCCTTGGTTTCTCCTGATCTTTCCCCTCTATGTTGAAAAAATATTTTGTAAATTTGGAATATAAAAACTTCTCAAGTGCCATCTAAGTTGTATAAGTTAAAGGGGGCTCCCATTCCTTCCCTCAAGTTCCTGGGCTGAGCAAACAGCCAAAATATTATACTGTGACAGGATGGGGGCCTGGAGACCAAACCCTATGAGCAAAGGCTGAAGGACTTGGGAATGTTCAGTCTGGAGAAGAGGAGGTTGAGGGGAGACATGATTGCTCTCTTTAAGAATTTGAAGGGGCCCAATATTAATTTTAATAAAACATCAATCTATAAATAATGCAAATTATACAAAAATACATGTATTTATTACAAATTGGTTTAAAAGCAATTACAGGCCCAAATATAGCCTCAATAAGAATACCGTTCGTACAATATTTCAAAATTAGAACAAGCATAAACATTACACATAGGCTCAATTATTGTAATAATAATATAAGACAATATAGGACCAAGTGAGAATTATGTTCTGATAGATATCAGTCACTCAAAGCAAGGATGTACTTTATAGGTCTCACAGGGTATCACCTTATATCAAAATCTGATACATGTAATTCAAATGGTCTTACAATTATGTACCTTCCTAGTGTGGTCCAAAAGAATCAATTTTAAAAACAATATGGAGCCAGTGTAACATAATAGTATGTTACACTGGCTCCATATTGCTGATATCAGAACATAACATTTATGTTTGACCACTGAAAAAGGCCAGTAGGCCAAAATGTGTCTGCTTTAGGGTCGCATAAGGTTACAGTTGCCAAGCCCATCTTCATCCCCAGCAGGGGACTTTAGTTCCCAGAGGTGTTCCCGGAGGGGGCAGGGTGTTCCCAACATGATGACATCACATTGGGGACATCCTGGCTCCAAGCCCCGCCCCTGCGGGGACAGTCCCACTGGCTGTGAGCACTTAAAGGAGTCCCTTTAAGTGCCCGCAGCCGAGCGCCCCACATGCCCAATCTCGGAGTGGCATTGGGGACATCCTGACTCTAAGCCCTGCCCCCGTGGGGACAGTCCCACCGGCTGTGAGCACTTAAAGGGACTCTGAGGGCCTTGCTCTGAGGGCCTTGCTCACCCGATCTCCAAGCAGCATTGCTGCTCAGAGATCAGGCGTGTGGATACCTATCCCACCGGCTGCATGCACTTAAAGGGGTCCCTTTAAGTGCCCACAGCTGAGGGCAATGCTGCTTGGAGATTAGGCCCGCAGTCCGCAGCCACCCCTCTCCCTCCTCTCAAGAGGGACAGGGGTGGCTGCGGGTGTTGGGGCTTGGGGGTGGGGACTGGCCAGCTGGCCAGGCAGCAGGTAGAACTGCCCCAAAAGCGGGTAACCCCTGCCAAACCAGGGGGTCTGGCAATCCTACATAAGGTCCTAATTTTGAAATATTGTATGAATTGTATTCTTATTGAGGCTTATGGTATTCTTTTGAGGAACACACATACTGGATGGGGGATACGCTTCTGGGTAGCAGTGTGTGTGTGAACAAGATCTTGGGGTATGGGTGGACCGTAAGTTAAATATGAGCAACCAGTGTGATTCAGCAACAAAAAAAGCTTAATGTGATCTTGGGGTGTATCAACAGAGGCATAACATCCAAATCACAGGATGTCATAGTCCCGCTGTACACTGTATTGGTTAGGCCGCACCTGGAGTATTGTGTGCAGTTCTGGAGGCCTCACTTCAAAAAGGATGTGGACAGAATGGAGTGGGTGCAGAGGAGAGAGACGAGGATGATTGGGGGCCTGGAGACCAAACCCTATGAGGAAAGGCTGAAGGACTTGGGAATGTTCAGTCTGGAGAAGAGGAGGTTGAGGGGGAACATGATTGCTCTCTTTAAGAATTTGAAGGGCTGCCAGAGGAGGGCAGGAAGCTGTTCCTGTTGACAACAGAGGTTAGGACTCACAATAATGGGATTAAATTAAGGGTGGGAAGGTACTGGTTGGATATTAGGAAAATCTTTTTTACAGTAAGAGTTGTGCAACAGTAGAATCAGCTGCCTTGGGAGGAAGTGAGCTCCCCCTCACTGGCAGTCTTTAAGCAGCAGTTGGACAAACACTTGTCAGGGATGTTCTAAGCTGATCTTGCATTGAGCTGGGGGTTGGACTAGGTGGCCTGTATGGCCCCTTCCAACTCTGTGATTCTATGATTCTATATTTGGGCCTATAATTGTTTTTAAAGCAATTTGTAATAAATACATGTATTTTTGTACAATTTGCATTATTTATTTATTATCACAAGTAGTACAGATATCACAGGTAAGAATACAAAACAAAAAAAACGTACCACCAGTACACCATTTGTAGCAAGGCGTTCAACCGTATTTTGCCTATGGATTAAAAAAAAATTGAAAATATACCTATTATAGCTGACACATGGGGTTTTTTTTATAGTTTTCTGAATATTATATCCCATTTTGGAAAATGTCAAAGGATGTTACAGGGGTTTTTTATTGCATACAGATTTTAAACCTCTTTCAGTGTTACCTTGGTATTTGTCTGTTTTGACTCCGCTCTTGAGAGGGTACATTTACCTGTGAGACCCATTAATACAATGGAAAACTTGCTATCATAAACATACAATGCAATCCTAAAATAAAATTCAGGTGGGGTAGCCGTGTTGGTCTGAAGCAGCAGAACAAAGTTTGAGTCCAGTGGCACCTCTAAGACCAACAAAGTTTAATTCAAAGTGTAAGCTTTCATGTGCAAAGCACACTTCTTGAATAAGTAACATAACAATTTGCAGAGACAGCAGACATAGTTAGGAGTCATACTGAAACAATTGGACTTATTTGCTCAGCAAATATCATTAGCACTGTGCTAAAAATGAGAAAACTCAGACAGGAACAGTCGTTCCTGTGCTATCCTACAATTGCCACTTACTTTGGTATGATCCCTCAAAAAATTCTAAGGAATAAAATTTAGCAATATCCTCCTAGAGAGTGATGAAAGGGATCTTAGTTTTATGCAAAGAAATGGCTTGCAAATTCAAAACTTTCTGTGTCCATAATGTCAATAATCAGAAGTGAATAATTTTCTAGCATTTGGGAAAATTTGAAAGACAGGGGATTCACCTGAAAAGATTTTTCTCATACGGAATGCCATATCGAATGGAAGCTGAATTGATTCATATCTCAAGCACCTACTCTGGACTGTGTGGCAGCTTGAGTTTTACTCACATGCATTCCATGGTGAACTCCACTTCCAGCCGCTCATCAGTCTAAAATTGAAAAACGAGGAGGGGAAAATAATAAAATGAAATATGCAAAATAATCATATATGTTCTTTTGTATCTGGCAAAGACTGCAGTCACACACACTAAATAATCCACTTTCGATCCACTTTCAAACTGGATTTTTACCGTGTGAACTGGCAAAATCCAGTTGGAAAGTGCATTGAAAGTAGATTGAAAGTGGATTCTTTAGTGTGTGTGACTTCAGCCAAAGTGAGTTTTGACTCACAAAAGCTTATACCCAGAAAAAAATTGTTAGTCTTCAAGGTGCTATTAGACTCAAATTTCATTCTTCTACTATAAACTAACATGGCCACCCATCACAAAGTAATGGGCTCTTATTGTAGCAGGAACCCCTTTGCATATTAGGCAACACACCCTTAATGTAGCCAATCCTCCAAGAGCTTACAGAGCTCTTCTTACAGGGGCTACTGTAAGCTCTTGGAGGATTGGCTACATTAGGGGTGTGTCACCTAATATGCAAAGGGGTTCCTGCTACAAAAAGAGCCATGTAATATGAAGCCATACCACCTTTCTAGTTGCTACTTCACAGATACATATTTCCTATCCAGGTTAGAAAACTACATGTATACTGTAAAATGTGATAAGTACTAGCTCTACATGGCCAGTGGATCTCTACCACATATACATGCAGCATAATAAATATGCATGTGTTTATTAGATGTAATGGCATACATGGTTCTGTGTATGAAAGTGTTAAGCACGGAGAACATCCACCTGTATCAATGACCAACCCCTTTCTCAGGGAGGCATATACTGTCTCCTGGACCCTGTCTACCATCCTTATCCACGGGCAGATTTAGGCAGTCGGGAAGGGCAAGGGTCATACAAGCAGGAGTAGGTCTCAAACTTCCAAGTATCCTGTCCCTATCCTCAGACTGCATAACCTGAAAGGTATCCCACACAACTGATTACTGCAATGTGCTCTACATGGGGCTGCCCATGAAGACTGTCCAGAAGCTACAGTTGGTACAGAATGCTGTGGCCAGAGTACTGACTGGAGTGGGTCAAAACGGCCATATCAGTCCAGTCTTGTTCCATCTACATTGGCTCCCAGTTTGCTTCTGGGCCCAATTACAGATGCTGGTATTGACCTTTGAAGCCCTATAGAGCTTGGGGCCAGCAGCATACCTTAAGAAACATCTACTCCCATATGAACTTTCTTGTCCACTCCAGTCATCTTCAGAGGACCTGCTTCGGGAACCCCACCATCTAAGGCTACACCTTGTTGGTCATAGCGCCAAAACTTTGGAACCACTTCCTAGAGAAATTTGTCTATCTCTCCTATCATTCACTTCTGCCAGAAGGGTAAGACTTTGTTTTGTTTTGTTTGGCATACCCACCAATGAAAGCCAGTTTAGTGTAGTGGCTAAGAGTGTCAGAGTACTATCTAGGAGACCTGGGTTCAAATCCCTACTCATGCCTTGGAAGCTTGCTGGGTGACCCTGTTTCAGTCCTACCCTTTCAGACTAACTGACCTCACAAGGTTGTTTTGAGGATATAATAAATGTTATTGGCCCTCCTCCCTGGTTGTGTTGTTATATGTGTCTGTATGTTTATTTTATATAGCTCTATATTTTAAACACTGCTTTCATGTCATGATATTTTAATGCTTAAATGTTTTAATATTTCAGTCTTCGCTGCCTTGGGGATCCTATTTGCATAGAAAGGTGGCATAGATATGTTTTAAATAAATAAATAAATAAATAATATCAGTTTATTTTCTTACTACCCAAGATGCAATTTTGTTCCTCACCTTTCCATTCAATGCAAAACTGTAGCAAAGTGTTTTTCCGGGCTGGAGATAAGATGTATCAAAAAGAACTGTGCAAAGCTGGTCATCATTGAAAGGACTATCGTCATCACATACTTTTAGTTCTAGGATGTTCTGGAAGAGAGGGGAGAGTTAAAGGATATAAATCTGTGATGGAGTAGGAATGGACACCTGTTGAAGATGATGTTTGTATGGGTGGATTCAGATCAACCTTCAGCACAGGCATTGATATGTTCTCAAGACAATATTGATTTCTGGGTACCAACGTCATCATCTCATTGTTTCTCCTACTTCTCCTTCACCATAATGAGTGCAAAATGGGACATTAGATATCTCTTCAAGGGAAAGGGAACAACATAACTTGCTTCACATTAGGCATGGGAGGACTATTCAATAGTCTCTCCATCCCACCCTACCAAAGGACAATCCAATAAATTGATTACAGAAAATATAAAAACCTCAACCTAATCAATTTATAATAATCTATCTAAATCCTCGCAACTCATTTAGTAGGGAGCTACTATATGCAAGTTGAGGTGGCAGGCCTTGAATGTGAATCTAAGCGCAATCTCATCAGATACCAGTAGATGTCGTAGTTGCAGACAACTGCTACGTTAAATGGATGGAATCCCAGAAAAGTGACAAGAAAGGAGACAGCGTTGTCCACATTCCACATAAAAGCAGAAGTGTGAGAAAACTAACAAGCAAAAGTCATCTTCAAAAGCAATTATGTACTATGCCAGGTCACCTATCATCCCATCTCCCATGGCTTTCCATCACCAATAGGTATGCTTGATGCTCAATTGGAACAGGACAGACCAAAGAAAATACTTCTTTACTCAATGAAGTCTTCCAGACAGGCTCACTGCTGTATTTTGGGTTCCCTTCCTGACCACTTTTTCTTTCAGAACTTCCTCACCACTTTGTTTTATATCTCTTGCTGTCCTAGCTTTTCTCAGGTTATCGGCGATAACCAGGGCCAGGGCTTTCTCCGTACTGGTGGAACGAGCTCCTGGAGGAGATCAGGGCCCTGCAGGACCTTTTACAGTTCTGCAGAGCCCGTAAGACAGAGCTCTTCCACCAGGCTTTCGATTAGGAGCCGCCAAACACCGAGGAGGGACCCTGTGCCCTGGTTTTACCACCTTCAGCCTATCTCGCTGCATAAATTAGTCGATCAAACTGAGACGATATGAGAATACCATCAGGACTATCACCTAAGTAGTGGTATTGTTTGATTTAGGAATCTCTGCTCTTGCACATTAATTGTTTCCGGCATTTTAGGAAAATGGATAATTGATTGTTTATGGATGTTTTATGTATGTTTTAACTGTATTTATATATGCATTTTATGTAAGCCACCCTGAGCCCGCCTTGTTGGGGAGGGCGGGGTATAAATTGAACTAGTAAATAAATATATAAATAAATAAATAGTAAAGAGATTAACTAGAAACCGCTAGCAATTGTAAATACACTTCAAATAAAAGATTGCAAACATGAGAGCAACTCTCATACATCTTAGCCAACATAAACCTAAATGTTAAACCACTAATTGCCACTAGGGCTGCCGAGCCTCCAGTGGAGGAAGGGGATCATCCACCCCCAGGTCCTATTGCCCACTACTGCTTGGAGTGGCAGCAGGACAATTTTTTTTTAATACAACCTTGTATACTGACCAGAAGTGACAAAAGGTAGCTCTAGGAAGCACCTACCCTTTGTCACTTCAAACAAGAACTTTTGGTAAGTACATGACGCTGCATGGTATTTTAAAAAAATTTCTACTGCAACAGGGTGGCGGTGGCGCAGCCTGCATTGACATCTGGCCGAACAGCTCCGGCTGTTCGAGCCCCACCGCGGCCGGGGTGAGCACCCGGCCCTATGTCCCAGCTCCCGCTCACCCAGGGGCTCGAAAGCCCGTTAAAGGGCAAATAGACAAATGGGTACCTGCTCTTAGAGCGGGGGGGGCACCGGTCCCTTGCGGTGTAGCGGCGGCGGTGGAGAAACATGGCGGCGGCTGGCGAGGCAAAGCGAGTGAGAGGAGGCTGGGCCGGCAAAAGCACGGAGGCGGGGCGACGCAGCAGGCCGGAGCCTACTGGACAGAGGCCGGCAGCGAGCATGCGCGGACGTGCGCTCAGTCCAAGCCTGAAGGAGTCGCAACAGCCAGGAAGTCGCAACAACAATCAAAGACCAGCGCCAGGAGGACGTCATCGGACGAGCTCCCGCAGACAACAACGACTCGCTACAAGGGTGCCTGGTAGGCTAGTCACTCTCTCCCTTGTATGTGGCCCTAGGTTAGGATTGGCTTGTGTTGTATGTAATGTGAACCACTCAGAGCCCTCAGGGGGTGAGTGGTATACAAATGGAATGTAATAAATAATAAATAAATAACATTCCCACCCCTGCCACCATTCTTCCAGTTGCTTCGCACTGCCTGGAAATTCTAACTGCCACCTTACCATATGTTATAACTATGGCCAGCAATAGAGGGAATAGTTGCTGGACTTGACCAAAAAGATAACAAAAGATGTTGTGGCACACACAGTCAGAACAAACCTGGCCTCTTGGAGAAGCATGCCAAGAAGGGAGTCTAGAGACTCAGAACAGAACAGCCTCAAAGGGCACTAAGAAGAAGACAGAGTGGCAACAATGAAATGGCCGTGTGAAGACAGAAAATAGATACAGTTTTTTGAGGCCCAGGTGCCAAAGCAGCTGAGAATTGCAAGAATATCCAGCTTCACAGAAGTGAAGATCTGGTGCAAGGAAGGGACTACGGTTTGAGAGTGATAAGATATGTATGAAAAATTTGTAAACATTATTTTAAATTAACTTTGTTAAGATAAAAAACAGCAAGAATGAACTAACATTTTATATATAAATAAAGAAGTTGTTTTATGTAAAGGTAACCTTGTATGGTGTTTGAAGTTATAAGATAACAGATAATGAGTTAGCCAAGAATATGTGCCCTTATCCCGTGGAACAGTTAGCTGTTGTTAGGAGGTGATTTTAAAATCCTGCAAATAGGGTAAGTTGTAGTGCTCAAGAGCATCTTCTCAGAAGGGGCCCCTTGCCTATAACCTTTTGGGGTAAGAAACTCTTATATATTCATGTAAATGCTAGGGATGCCAGCCTCCAGGGGATCCCCCAGAATTACAACTTATCTCCGGACTACAGAGATCAGTTTCCCTGGACGAAATTGGTACTTTGGAAGGTGGGCTCTGTGGCTTTGTACTCTACTAAAGTCTCTGTCCTTCCCAGATTCTATCCCCAAATGTCCAGGAGTTTCCCAGCCTGGATCTGGCAACCCTACCCATCCACCCCCCCACCAGTGGCCAGGGGGGTCCAGCAACCCTAGTAACTGCTCTTCTTTAATTATCTATGGCTGCGGTCACACGGAACATTAGCCACGCTAGAGAGATGGAAGATAGGCGGAGTTTCCGGGCGCGATCTCACCGGCACATCTGGGAAGCGTAGCGCTCCCGTGGCTCAACCGAGGCTTCCCGCCAAAGACGCGCGGCAAAAAACTAGTACCTCGGAGGTACTAGTTTCCGGAAACCGCAGGGTAAGGGCGGGTGCGTGATCGCGTTTTCGGTGGAATCCCGTGGCATCCGGCGCCCGCCCATGTCCTCTCGCAAAAAACTCCCCCCCCCAAGCACCCAACGGAGCATGCGCATACTCAGTGTACAGGGGGGGAAAAACCCGTTTGCCCTGGAGGAAGGGGAAGATGCGACTGCTCGTCCAACCGTCCCCAGGAGCCGCACAGAAGGCAGCTCAGAGTCGCCCAGAGCAGCGACCCCCCCCTCCGGGGGACCTGCCTTTCAGTTTCATTGTTAGGCGTTAGAAGGTAACAGCAGTTTACTCTGCCCGTCAGCGCCCGCTTCGCGAAGCTCCAGTCGCCAAGTGGAGGAGAGACAAGACGGTTGTCAGAGCCTTCCCCCCCGCCCCTCTCTCTGTGCCCGTCAAGCCCTTCCACAGACAAAGCTGTCAGCCTGTGTTCATTTTAATTCCATCTTTCTGCCTCGTTCTCTCTCTCTCGAAGCACACCACGGCAGCAGATAAGAAGGTCGTGTCGGTATCCGGTCGAGATGTGCCCCCGCCTTACCACCAATGTTAGTTTCCCTCACACTGAGGACTCAAGCTCCCTCTTCCCCACCCCTTGGCCACATCCGTTTCTCCCTTCTCCTCCCACCGAGTGACCTTCTGGGACATGTAGTCCATTTCAGCCGCTTCTTTGCCGCGCTGCAGGAAGGCACCTCCCCCCTATACACGGGACCTCTACGGGACCTCCAGGGGACATCTGATCGTGCAACCGCGCGTTATTTTGCCCCGGGGCTAACAGCCACGCTTCCCCCCCCCGCGCGCATTTTCCTGCCCGTGTGACCGGAGCCTATGTAACCCTGATGGGTGGTGTAGTGTTTTGTTGATTTAGTCTGTGTTAAGAATGCAATAATTATGCTTTAGTAAAACAAGTTTATAAACTAAGCAGAGATTCCTCAATACTATTTACTTGTGTACTATACCCAGAAAAAAACTACAGCATTACCGAGGTATACCTCTGGCTAGGAATTAAATGATCTGGTACAGGAATGCAAACTAGATGCCTAGGGTTCCTTAAGTGCACACTTATACCTAAATCAGGCCTGACCAGAGTCATCCAGAACACACTCTTCTGCCCTTCTAGTTATAGCTCAGTTTTTCCTAACAAGCAAGCTGATGCAGTTTCATAGCTACCTATCCAAGAATCCAGGAAGGTTGAAAAGACAGAGACCTCACAGTCATGTGGGCCTCTCAACCCTCATAGTCCTGAAATTTAGCAGGAAAAACAAAACACAGGCGCTTGGGGTCTGGAACTACAAGACAGTCTTGTCCAGATCTGGTGTTGCTTGGCCCTTTGAAAGAAAGCTTTTAGGAAATATGCTGTAGACTCATGTTCTATCTATTCATGCTTAAGTATTTTGTATTGCTTACTGTAGCCATATACATCTTTCATACATACTCATGTATCATAAATCTGATTTAGTTTGCAGTTTTGGTATATCATACAATAGTGCCTTCCAATAAACACTTCATATTAGTAACACTTCGGAGTTTGTGTTTTCCTACTGACAGTTGCATAGCCAACAGTGGGACAAGAACAGAGGCCTCCTTCTTAAGGGGACGGAATTAACAATAATTACTTGGGAATGGCCAATCAACAGGACTGGGAAGAAGCAACCAATCATCAGTGCTCCCAAGAACATTCCTTCTGAAAAAGAACACTTGAATACCATGACTGGGCACCATTTTCAAGCTCTGCATGCACTGCAATCTAGTTTCCTTTTTAACATACAATCAAAGGGCAAGCCAATTGGAGTAAGGGAGATGCCTGGAGAGAAAAAGAGGCCATTGACTTGTTAGCTATCTGGGGTGAGGAGAAGGTTCAAGTGAAATTCCCAACATTGATTGCTTCGACATAATTGTTCATGGTGCATTTTTCAACATTTATTTATTTGACCTCTGAAGAAGGCTTGTCAGGTCATACACTGTTCCTTTTTGTGTACTTGTAACTCTGAACATTTTATGAGACTTTATTTGGGCCCCTACAATGTATTTATATGTTTTTGTAATACACACTCTTTTATCTGTAGTTATGTTTTTAACTTTTGGCCCTCAATAATTTTTCTAAACTTCCCTTGGAGGGTTGTGCTTGGTTGGTTTAGATTTTTCCCCCTCTTTTGGAGGGGCACTTTTCAACATACCAGAACACTTGTTTATTTATTTTGCAAATTTTATATCCCACCTTTCTGCACTCACAAGGACCACCAAAGTGGCTAAGTAAAATATACATAATAAAGTCACATTTTAAAATTTAAACCCCACTCCCACAAAACACAGATCATTAAAAGAATTAAAACCAGAGCTACAATATATACACGAAAACATAATAAAACAACAATTAAAACATTGGTCAAGAAGGAAGGAACATAGCTACAGCACATGTATAGCACAAACTGAGAAGTTTGTACAGGGAGGGAGGACATACACATAGGAAAGGTCCGCATAAAAACCCACCATGTTGATCTACCATTCCCAGTGCACAGTGATGGGACCCACCTCAGCAGTGAGGAAAGCACAGTAATTAAATTGTGGAATTCCTTGCCAGTGGAGGTAATAATGACTACAAACACAGATGGCTTTAAAGGAGGGTTAAACAGATTCATAGAGGATAGGTTCGTCAGTAGCGACTAGTCATGGTGACTGAAGGGAATCTACACATTCAGAGGCAGTAAACCTCTGAACACCAATGCCAGGAGGCAACATGAGGGCAAACCTTGGCCTCTGTGCCCTATTTGTTGGCCCTCCAGTAAAACTGGTTGGCTGCTGTGTGAAACAGGATGCTAGACTAGATAGACCACTGATAGATCCAGCAGGGCTTATGTTCCATCTTGTCACAAGTAGCATCTATAATATAATTGCTCACCCTTCCAGTTTGTTTTCAGTTTACCCAACTTCCTTACCACAGCAGTGACTACAACCCACCTCCCACAATCTTAGAAATCTGTAAGCAATCAAGCAATACATCTCATGGAAGAAAAAAGGCCTGTCTCTACTATGCCTTCACATAGCTCAACATGACCAAAAAAGCCCACCATGCTGCTGCTCCTCAGCAAACAAACTGATGTAACACATCATTAGTCTTTATAGACTTAGAAGCCTAATTTGTGAGACATTTAAGGACCACTTAGAAGGAAGTTATTTAAACACACTTAACAAGCAACCAGAGATGAGTGTTTTGAAATAGCATATTAACTGGGATCCAGATCATAGCAAGAAATGACCAAACACTGAAAATAAGCCTCAGCAGGAGAATTAGGAAAGCAGTAAGGCTACCATCAGAAGAGGATTATTAGCACCTCACCTTAACTATACTCTGGAGCCTAAAGAAGAAAGTTTCATTCCAGACTGGATTGCTGCTGTTTGAGAAGGTTTTGGTTCGGGCATCATCCATGCAAGCTGTCGGTAACCTCAGCGTTACATAACAATCACTTGGGCTCACTGCATTAAAATTTCATTTAATTAGAAAAAACAGTTATTGTTGTTTTTTTTAATAAACAATTTTAGATACTAGTCCTAGAAACATATAAGGTAAGATCAATTAATGGAAGGGTGTTTTTTACCAACATATATTTTGTTATTGTTTGTTGTACTCTCTCACTACTGTAGTAATGTTATGGCAATTCAGGCCCCTGCCACATGGCTCTATTAGATGCCGGGGAGGAAGCCACGGTTGGGAAACCGAGGCAGCCGGCTGTGCATGTGTCCGCATGCGTAGTTCGGCCAGGAGCAGGGGATAGGCCGGCAGAAGGACGCGCCGGTGATCCCATGGCCGCGCTTGCTGCGGCCGTTCAGGTAAGACCACCTCTGTCGGTGGTTCTTTTTTGCTGCGGGGTTTCCGGGGTTAGGGACGGATCGGGGACAGGTGCGCGCCGCTTCCCAGATGTTGCGGTGAGATCGCACCCGTTTGCTGCGGCCCCGATCCATCTCTCTCCCGGGCCAAAACCCTCCGTGTGACCGGGACCCCAGATAATCTAATTTCACACAAGTTGGATAATGTTCTTTCTATGCACTTTAGCAATTGTTTGCAAGTAGATTTTTCTGTTCCGCACAGGAAAATCCAGCTGCAAAGCACATTGGATGTGCATTATCCAATGCATGTGAAATTAGAGTGTGAATAATGAATGTTTGGATTGGCTAGATACACATCTTTTAGGGAGGTGAAACTGAGCAAGGCCTGCCCATGGGATCACTTCTTTGTAAAGCTGCAAAATTTATGTAACACTTGTTCTGTCCCCTACTCCTGCTCCGCCACTTGCACAAGACACCTTGTATGTTACAGTAAAATCTGAAAACAGATTTTTAAGGGGCAAATAAACAAGCCAGTGGGAACCAACAGGAGTTCCACATGAAATATTTTAAAATATATATCTTTAGACATTTTCAATGCTGATGAAAAATGTAATGTGGTCTGTACATTTAGTAAAATGAAGCAGGTCTTGAATACTCTATAAGCTATGTTGTGTGAATTGGGTTTCTGTCATTCTTTTCCCACAGATACCCTTAGAGCATAGCTAATGACCACACAGCCTATAAATAATACTTAGAGTAAGTTTCGTTTAAACAGTAACATAGCAATTAACACACATTGTGATTAACATTGAACTATCTAGCCTTTGAGGAACCAGGAGACTGCTGTAGGGTTAGATACTCACATACATCAGCGTTTTGAAGATTTCTAACTCTTATAACTCTGACGGTGAGCAAATAGAAGGTAGGAACCTGTACCTGAAGGATAATGTGAATAAATGAAAATACATCAGTCTTGATTTGTATCCTGCACTCTCACAGTGCTCATGGCAAGTCAACAAAAGGGCCAGTGCAATCCAAAGTAAAGAAGACCTGCAGCAAAACCAGCTCCCAGATCACACCAAAACAAGGATATAAAATGCAAATCTATCAAATAAAAATGCCAGCAGTAGGAAAGTAATAGAGCCATCATGAACCTATGTGTTGCCTTTGCATTTGGATTTACTAGTTTCTTCGCTGCCATCATATCACTATGGATTGTTTCTGCTCCAAAGAAGGGCTCTTCTGTGAAGAGAATGCTTAAGGGGGTATATGTAAAATTATATAAGTACCATAGTACTTGACTAATTGTTAATTAAAATTTAACAAGAGAAGCAAGAGAGAACAAGAGAATACAGAGCGCTCTTACCCTCTCCCACCTCCTTCGTGCACTCTGGGTAATAAAATGGAGAGCATAATCTATCAATTTAACAATGGGAAAATCCCCATACTTTTCTATCTGGGAATCACTGACATTGTTGTTCTACAAGACGGGTACCTAAATGTTCATACTGGTATTTCTTACTAAGGCTCCTTCTTATTTTGAACTTGTTTGGTATGTTTATTCAGAGTATCAAAATCCCAAGGTTCTGAAAGCCATAATTTCACTCTAGTAGCTGCTGGGCTTTCTGTCTTTGTGAGGTACGGCACTTTTTGTAGATATTACCAGCTTAGTTCATTTATTATCTATCAAATGTGGATTTCTTTTCATTCAACAGCACAAGCTGTAACTGGATGAATTATCTTTTATTATTCTTATTATTATTTATTGATTTGATTTGTACCCCACCCTCCCCACCGAAGCAGGCTCAAGGCGGCTTACATAACATTTCCACAGATAAGAACAGCAATATAAATATAAGCATAAAACACAGCATAAGTATTAAAAGCAAATTGTATGGTGGTGGTGATGGTGGTACAGTAGTAGCAACAGACGTAATGAAAATACAGTCGGCAGCTGATTTTTCTATCGGCAAGCTCAGGCTGGATGGTGGTATTGGGCACATGGTCTTAGGATGTTAGGTGCGGCTCCTTACCTGAAGGCCTGGTGGAAGAGCTCTGTTTTACAGGCCCTGTGGAACTGTAAAAGGTCCCGCAGGACCCTAATCTCTTCCCGGAGCTCATTCCACCAGTTTAGAGCTGGTACTGAAAAGGCCCTGGCCGATGCCAGCCTGGTATCTTTGGGTCCCGGGAGGGCCAAACAATTTTGGGACTCTGACCGTAGTGCTCTCTGGGGAACATGTGGGGAAAGACAGTCCCTCAGGTAGGTAGGTCCCTAACCACAAAGGGCTTTAAAGGTAAGCACCAGCACCGTGAAGTGAATGTGGTACGATATAGGCAGCCAGTGCAGTGCTTTTAGCACAGGCTGGATGTGCTCCTGCACGGGGAGACCCAACAACAGCCTGGCCGCCACTTTCTGCACCAGCTGAAGCTTCTGGATTTGGGTCAAAGGCAGCCCAATGTAGAGAGCATTACAGTAGTCTAGTCTAGATGTGATCACTGTCACCAAGTCATTGCATTCGTGGAAGGGAACCAACTGCCTGATCAGCCAAAAATGATAAAAGGCTGACTTAGCAGTGGCTGCTCCCTGGGCCTCCATTGTTAGGGAGGCATCCAGGAATGCCCCCAAACTCCTAAACTCCAACATTGGCACCAGTGGTGCCCTGTTGAAGGACAGGAGTGGGATCCCTAACCCTGGACTGCCCCGGCTCAGGAACAGGACCTCCGTCTTCGTCTGATTCAGTTTCAGTCGACTCAGTCTAAGCCAACCAGCCACAGCCTGCAACGCCAGGTCCAGGTCTCCCAGGCTTGACTGGCCACCCAACAGCAGATAGAGCTGGATGTTGTCCGTGTACTGGTGACAACTCAGCCCCTGCCTCCGGGCAATCAGGGCAAGGGGGCACATATAGATGTTAAATAGAATCAGGGAAAGTACCGCCCCTTCAGGCACTCCGCAAACTAGTGGGTGCCTTCAGGACAGCTGTCCCCGACCCTGAAGGAACGAGGAGAGCCACTGCAAGGTCGACCTCTGAATCCCAGCATTGGCGAGGTGGTGGATCAGTAGTTGATGGCTGACTGTGTTGAATGCCGCTGACAGGTCCAGCAACAGCAACACTGCCAAACCTCCCAAATCCAGATGCCTCCAAAGGTTATCTGTGACGGTGACCAGTGCCGTCTCCGTCTCACGGCCTGGTCGGAAGCCAGACTGGAAGGGCTCTAACATGGAAGTGTCATCCAGAAAACCCTGCAACAAGGCATCTCTAATTCTCTCACAACCTTTCCAACACAACCCATACCCAACCTTAATAATAACCTGTATTCTAACACTCTGCTCAGCAACGTTTAAAGCCTTCCTCTGTCTCTGAAAGAAGTATCATTTATAGGGACTGGCCCAAACTGTCTCACAAACTAAAGTTCATGATATGGTTGCCAGGTCCCCTCGTGGTTCTGGCAGGGGGATTTGGGGGCATTCTGGGATGTCTCCAATGCAATGATGTTACCTGGAAGTGACACCATAATGCTGACATTGTGAAGGTGACGCTCTAGTTTGAGGGCAAAAAATTTACCATAGAATTTTGCCTCACACCAGAGTGTTCTCCACAGCATCCCCAACGTGATGATGTCACTTCTGGGTGAAGTCACCATGCCAAGGACACTGCATTGGGATGTCCCTGTTTGGGAGTACAGTTCCCCTACTGGCCAGCTGGCTGTCGGTGGGCTGAAGCCCTGAAAAGCAGGGGAACCCCCGTCCCAACCTGGGGACTGGCAAGCCTAGCTCATGATGAATTTTGGCCTGTTCATGGTTTGCAGTCAAGTTCATGGCAGGTCAAGGATGAATGTCTCAAACATGGCAAGATACAGGGGGAAAATCTACTTTAAAAGATAGGAAAACATATCCTGTGGCTCTGTTATTATCAACTGAAAAGTCTAACAGAATTTCTAGCCTCTACAGGTACCTTCAAGAGACCAAGGTCCAGTTTTGAACACCTCCTTGTGACATATCCTGACTTGTCGAAGGGTCTGCTATCCAAAATCTACAAGATCATACTAGCAACCAACGGTGAGTATGATCTGAAATTCCAGAAATCATGGCAACATGACCTTCACACAGATTTACAGCATTCCCATTGGCTGTCCATTTGGAACTCTCTGGCAAACATATCTAGGGTCTTTAACATCCACATTCAATTTTTTAAACTTACATCCCATTGGTACTACACCCCGAAGAGACTGAACCGAATGAATTCCAAACACAGTCTTCTATGCTGGAAAAATTGTGGATCCATCAGCAGTTATCTGCACTGCTGGTGGAACTGCCCAGTCATACAACAATTTTGGTGTGTGATCATGATGCAAATCAGTAAGATCACATCACTATTACTCTCAGTTAGACCAGACCTATTACTCTTAAATTTATGGGACTCATCTGTCTGGGATGACACATACAAAGAACTTACCTCAATCCTCCTTGCCACAGCACGGCTGACAATCGCAGCAGTCTGGAAATCTCTTACACCCCCAACTTTGATAGCCTGGTATGACAAAATATGGGATCTATTCATCATGAGCAAGATCACCAATTCATTAGAACAAAGTCAGCCTGGTTCCACTAAGGTTCATTCCAAATTTGACCTCCTTTGGTCACCAGCAATGTTCCCTCTAAGCTGTGGAGTCTTGTGAGCAAAAATTCTACTTTGCGAGCTACTGGCTTTAAAGTGGTCAGTGAGCAATTTGGCTACTGCATAAATTAGTTTGCTCTGGAGCCATCCTTCCTGATCTAAGACAACAATGTGGGAGGCAGAGGCTAAAAAACTGTGAGCTAGCTCACACTAACTCATCGTAGAGGGAACACTGGTCACCAGTACTGCAATTTATGGCAGACCAGGATCTTCTCCCTTCCAACCCACGCTATCGTACATTGCTACACTTTTAACACGCCCCTTTGCTTTGACATACTGTTGGGACTCCTCTTATCTGACCCACATATCTTGAGCTAACAAGAACTTACTTTTCTTTTGTCCAATAATTAATGCATTGTTTTTTTAATCCTACAGTGTTGATTGTATATCCCCTTTAAAAGTGTTGTATCTCGATTCATCTTTCTTCTGATTGTACTGTTGTTATATAATTAATAATTTTATGTAAAAAAAGGATGAATGCCTGTCTTTACTCTAGATGTTTGACAGAGGTAGCTATATACATTGGAGCAAAAACAGTAGTCTCATGACCTCTTAATGACAAGTGTGCTGTGTTTTCTAACATTATTGGGCAAGGCTCATTTGTGGGAGTGATGGCAGAAGTGAGAATCTCCACTGCTACTAGCCACTGGAAACAGGCTACGGTCAAGCCAGTCATGTGTTCTGGTGATTCCCCCCAGCCAACCCCATTGCAAGTACTCTGTAGGGCAATTCGAAAACCAATCAACTTGATATTATAGTACTCTGTAGGAGACATCTAAACCTAGTTTTTTATACTTTTCTGAAACTGTAAATTCAATGCTAATGTGGCTGCTAACTGCTTAGCAGGGGCATAGCCAGAACATTTTGGTTGGTGGGGCATTGGGAAACCTTGTGGGGCACTTGCTCATCCTTCCAAATAAAATGCTCAACTAGCAAGTTTTTTTAAGCAACTAACGGGAGAAACATCTCTCATATTATATGAGACTTACTTATACAAAACTTACAGAAAATGACACAGCAAACAATACTGTGCAAGAAACCTGAAGGGTGGGGGAGAGGTGAGGATAAGAGTTGGACATTCAACAGAGATGGATTTTCCTTTCAAGGGATGGATGACTGGAAAAGCAATCTTGCCTGCCTGCTTAAGGAATGAAGCATCCCAAAAGGGGGGTTGAAGGTGAATTCTGAACAGTCCAAAAGACAAAAGGCAGAGGCCCTTTTCCACAAATGGCTCCTTCCCAAGCCCCATCCCCACTACCTGGCCCAAAAGAAATCCCCCAGCCACCACTGGCTGCCACCCCCACAAAGCTGGACGAGCAACAGATGAGGCAGGCAGGCCTTGCTGTAGTCATGTGACCCACTCATGTGACACCAGCCCATGACCAGGAGACATGACTGCAGTGAGGCCTGCTTGCCTCATCCACCCACTCACTTGGCCTGGGAGAGGAAGAGCTGGCAGCAGTCCTGTAGCCAGGATTTTGTGGCTAGTGGGGCAAAAAAATTTCTGGAGGGTGGCGCACACCCCTCTCCCTCCCCTCCTGCAAGATTTAAAGGGCCTTTCAGCTGATCAGTGGGGAGCATGGGGCCCGCCAATCAGCTGAAGGGCCCTTTAAATCTTGCAGGAGCGGAGGGAGAGGGGTGTGCACCCACACACACACACACACACTTCTTCTCAAAAGCATTTAAATAATACCTTTAAATGGTTCTGGGAAGAAGCAGCAGGCTTTAAGAAGTGCAGGGCCCTTTAAGGAAAGGGCTGGCCCTTTAAGAAAGGGGGTGGAGCCCCCAATAGCCTCACTGTAGCTACGGGGCTGGCCAGCAGGTTGGTGTGATTAATACTTAGCGAGGTGGCTAACAAGCACTCCAGCTGTGCTCCAGCCATGCAGCCTCCACCTCCATGCCCATTGCTGGGCCAGCAGGTAAGGGCATGGCTGGGGGCAGCAGGAGACATGGGGCCTGGGTCATGAGTGATCGGGCATGTGCCCCCAAGTGCCCCACTATGGCTATGCGCCTGCTTCTTAAGGTTCCCCACCGGGCCCATAGCTATGGTGGGGCATTTTGGGGCTCCACCCCCTCAAATGCGAGGCACACCCCACAACAGATGCTGCCCCTCTCCCCCCCTCCTGTGACATTAAAAGGGCCCTCCAGCTGATCAGGCCCCTCCCCTGCTGCCCCACAAAATTTTCCCACCCACCCCCCACCAACCCAAAATTTCTGGCTACGAGGCTGGTTTCTCCCTCCCCACTGTGATTTCTAATACTGTCAGCCACTATTAGGGATGGGCATGAACCAGCTCATGAACTAAAGTCTGTGACAAATTTTAACCGGTTTATGGTTTGTGAAGTCAATGACAAGTGGTCATTTACCCAGAAAGCACGTTCCTAGGGGCACCTTTTTTTGGAGGGGGCGTAATCTAGACCCCGTAAATCCAATTTTCACCAAACTTGGTGGGCAGGTAGAGGAGAGTCAGATGCAGATCCCCTGTGAGTTTGGTGTCTTTAGCATGCAGGTGGTACATCTGCAATGAGATAACATTCCTATGTCCCTGTTCAGCCCTGGGAGAGCTCCATTGTTCTGAATGTGTGAATTAATTCAGGTTCAGCATTCTCATGCAGTAATTACAATGGACCCTCCCAAAAGTTGCAGCATTTAAATGTTCTAGCTATATGAGGATTTAAAAATGGACTTCCTTGATCAGTGTTTCCTATGAAACCAAAGAACATCTTTGTTCTTCTTGTCTTTTTTTGAACTTCAGCAAACAGTGGATTATATAATTTACAAGTGGAGACCCGCAACAAAATGTTGCGTACTGTTGGGTCTCCACTTTTTCTCTTCCCCCCTCCCCTCCCCTCCCCTCCGTAGGCCTCCCTCGTCTCTCTCCCCCTCCCCTCCTAAGCTCCCCTCCCCTCCGAAGCGGGGCCCGGCAGCTTGTAGCCGCCCGGGCCTCGCTGGGCTCCGGCTGGCTGCCTGGCCGGCCAGACCGCCGGCTCCGAAGCGGCGGCGGCGAGGCCGGCAGCAGAGCATTCTGTGCGCGTGCGCACGGAATGCTCTTGCACTTTCGGGGGGATTTAAACATCCCCCCGAAAATTTTTTTAACTTTTTTTATTTTTGTGCACACGTGGGGACTGGCCCACGTGTGCACAAACCTCCCCCGGCCCCCCAGCTGCCCCCGGAGCGCTGATCTAACGATCCGCACTCCGGGGGCAAGTTGGCTATTAGAATATATGATATTTATAATAGTATTTAAATGTAAGATAACTAATATTTTTCAATTCTTTGAGGGTTTATCAAGTCACACAGAAGGAAAATCTTGTAGCAGTTGCACTTGTATAGGGATGGGGACAAGATTTTTTGTTTATGAAAATTAATTTTGAATCTGGAAGCCAAATCATATATTTCAGGCTCTTCTGATATTTTAGGAAGATCCAGGATTTACAATATATAAAATAGCAACATCATATACCAAAAAAAGGCTATTTGTAACATAGATCTCTATCCTCCATTCCCTGTCTATCAGGATTCTTGTAACTGCAAATAGCAGAGGTGACAATGGATGCTCCTGCTTGGTCATCAGGACACCATCACAATGCTGTCATGGGCTCCCATTTCCTCCTGCCAGTACTTAAAGCACTAGCACCTGCTGAATCTCATTGCCAGATATCCAGGCACAATAACAGACATCTTTATGACAATCTAATGACACGATCACCATGATGCCAATTAATCGTGACATTGCCTGACTTTGTATGCAATATGAAAGATGCGTATAATATTACCAGCTGTACAAAATAAATAAAATCTGACATTTGACATTGCTTATCATTTAATTAATCTGTTAAATATGCTAAGAGAGTTCAAAAAGTACTATCCTCTCCTCTTTAGCCCTGTTAATTGCTTGAAGTCTTACAATATTTGACAGCAATGCTGATTCTGTGATCATGAGAGGTAGGGTGGGAAGGAATGAGCCAGTGCTCAGCTCTCATAGCCCTTTCTTATATGCCCAAGGTAATGCCGATCACCACTTTGGGGTCAGGAAGGAATTTTCCTCCTGGCCACATTGGCCCAGGGATCTTGGAGGTTTTTTGCCTTCCTCTGGGCATAGAGCAGGAGTCACTGGGAGAAAGGGCAGAAGGTAGTTGTGAATTTCCTGCGTTGTACAGACAGTTGGACTAGATGATCCTTGAGGTGCCTTCCAGCTTTATGTTTCTATGTTTCTAACATATGAAGCATGATTTTAATTAATTTTAAAGGCTTGATAATATTAACAACTATATTATGAGCATCTAGACATATTTTCTAGTGCTTATCTTTAAAACCAAGCCATTATCTTGTTTCTTTGGATGTTTTTTGTTTCACCAACAGTTCCAATAAGCACAAAAATAATGCTGTTGTATTATTGTCATGTTCCTTTAGACAAAAAGAAGTTATTTGAAAGGTATTCATTTAGCTTTGGAAACTGGGTGTGTTATTTAAAAAAATTAGATCCAAAGAACATGCCTGAATTCGATCCAAAGAAATGTCTGAATGCAAATACTTTACATTTGCAAATATTTTTACGACAGATCACTAGTAGAACTTTCTGACTTTGTTGAGAAACAGTCATAATGTTCTTTTCCTGACATAATCTTTCAATTTTCTGTTGATTTAAGACCTGTGGCTAAAATTAATGTAATTTTTAATAGTAATTCACAAAAGAAACAAAAAGAGTGCCTCTATCACAAAACTATGTTTGTTTTGTAATCAGGAAAAGAAAAGGGATTTGTAAGAGCATACCAGTTCTTGAAAATGCTTTTAAAATGTCTGTAGAAAACTCTGTTATACAGTTCCCACAGTGACAATACAATCTTAAGGAGAGCTACACCCTTTTAAGTCCCCTGAAATCAATGGGTTTAGAAGGGTGTGTCCCTACTTAGGAATACACTGTGAAATCCTTAAATTGGATAATAAAAAGAAAATAGAACATATACATTTCTCTTTTCGCAATTCTTTTTCAGATTTCTTATTTAGATAATAAAGAGAACAGCATTATGTTCTCAACAGAACATATGAAGATACCCAGAATAAAATAATATTCTTCCTAAATGTATCCATCTCTGGCTCCACTCCAAAGATACTCATAAATAGCTCTGGGGTTTTGCATGCATAAAAGGGACTAACCATTGGTACTTGTAGAACAGTCTGCTCTGGGAACCCTGATAGCGCTATCATTCGTTATGTCCCAGGGAAGGATAAATGGGTCTGAATTCAGGTGCCCTACTCTCTCCAAGTTCTCCATGGCAGTTGTTTGCACATGGGTGATGGAATCTGTGATGGGATGTTTTTGTATGTTTTTAACCTGTTGTAGATCGGCTAGAGCCCTGTGAACTCTGGGATGGGGCAATTCAGAAATGATGATGATGATGATGATGATTGATGATGATAATGATAATAATAATAACAATAATTATTATTATTATATCAGAACATCCAACCACCAGAAAAGGCTCTGCTAGAGTTGTGAGAACTCTATATACAAAAGCCATGAAGGATGGAGGCTGTAATAGACAGGGGAGTAAGAGCATAAGAACTTCCCTCTAGTGTTGTCAACCTCCAGGTGTGGCCTGGAGTTCTCCCAGAATTACAGCTGATCTCCAGACTAGAGAGATAAGTACCTTTGCACAAAATAGCAGCTTCATAGGTCAAACGCTATGGTATGACACAGATTCTAGGTGAAATCCTTCCCCAAATTCTGCCCCCCCCCATAAGCACCACTCCAAAATCCCCAGGGATTTCCCAGGCCACAGCTGCAGCCTTACTTCCCTCCCTGCCAATTCTCTGCTCTAAAGGCCAAAATATATTATACGTGTGGCTCAAGTTGGATCACAGATGCCCAACACAACTTGTATACACAGGTGTGAATGGGGGATCTTCAAAGCATTCTGTTGCTTTGTTCAGCTTGGGAGCTCGGCAAGGGGAGAGCAGGGGCTTCAGGCTTCCCTCCTGTGCCATTTTTGCAAGCAGAAATAGCCACAGTGGGCCTCTTTGCCCCTTCCTCAGGCTTCATGTGTCCTGCGTCCTACTGCTTTCCCTCCTGCAGAATCCCAGTTGTCTGTTTATTCTCACATACTTTTAGCTGGAACTTGATGAGGGGGCAGCTTAGAGGAGCACTTTGGAGTTGAGTGTAGGGCTGCCAGCTCCATCTTGGGAAATGCTTGGAGACTTGGGGACCATACCTGAGGAGGACAGGGTTTGGGGAGGAGAGGGAACTAAGAATGTGATGGCCTAGAGTCCATTCTCCGAAGCTGCCATTTCCTCTAGGGGAACTGATCTCTGTAGTCTGGGATCAGTTATCATTACAGGAGATCTCCAGGCCTCACCTTGAGATTGCAATCCTAACTAAGGAGCATCAGGACATGAAAAGGTTAAGCACCACTACCATTTCTATGCTCAAAATAATCTCCCTTTTCCCTAGAAGCTTTTGTCACAAACCCAGTGTTTGAAATACATAATTCCATCCTTAGTGACACTTCTTTTCCTTTTTTCAGCTTTTATTGAAATGTATTAAACATGGGTAACCCCAAACTAAACACAGAATTTCAAATAAGGCACCACTGTGCCTGTACAAAATTATTAGTTCTATTTTAATTCAAACAGAAAAGCCCCACCTGACACGTAAAGAACTGTACTGACCTTTGCAGTTGCATTACAATAATGGTTCATGGCCATGTGATGTTCAGCCAAGATACCTCGATATCTTTCCTCTTCCATTATTTCCACATGAAGAGGCCCCACCTAAAAATTCCCCATGACAAAAAAAAGTGTCTCCAAACTATGCTTTGTATAATGAATTTCATTCATGTATATTACTTCAGCTCATGTGGTCACTTAGTTTGTATTGCCTGACTTTGCCCTCATTTTCATTGCTAATTTACAGTTAGTTACTAATTTCATCAATAATTCCTTAAGTCGTGA